GCGTCGAGGCCGACGTTTAATGTCACCTCCCACCAATAACATACACAAATAGTCAATCGTAAACAGTCTCCTTTACATTATACACATTTCAGATATCAAAATTAAAATATTATCAATATTCACAGAATAGACACGATATAGCGAAAAAAGAGAACGTTCGCGCAATCTACATAATTTCTGTTCCATGTCACGTATTAACGCTCGATAACATGTTCCTATGGTTATAAAGAACTGAAAAAGAAAATTATATATGTAATGCTTATAAAGTTTATACAACACAAACAGTGCAGTGAACATTGCTCTGTCTCAGGAGTGACGTAACCTTATACGGCTTAAGACAGAGTAACAAGTCTATACATACAAATCACTTGTTTTACAATTAAAATAACTCAGCATTCTGCCCACAGAATGTACACATGTTCCATGTAACTGTCACAATAAATTGTGATTATTTCCCTAAATAGCGTTCACCGACTCGGCTTTGTGGCGGAGATGTAATATGTTTTCTGTGAGGTGCGAACTGAATCTTTATATATTATTTATGTGTTTCGTATAATTTGCACAGTAAATAGACATTATTTCCCTAAAGAGAATTAACTGATTGGTCTTTGTAGCGGAGATGTAATGTGTTTCCTGTGAGGTAGGAACTGAATCCTTATATATTATTTGTGTGTTTCGTATAATTTGCACAGTAAATACATTATTTCCCTAAAGAGCATTAACCTATTGGTCTTCATAGCGGAGACGTTACATTTTTCCTGTGAAGTACGAATTGAATTTGTTAATACTTATGTAGAAAAATCATTAAGCTTCAAAGCGTTAATAACCGATAAACTCTACTAAGATGCACTGATCAAAGACTTCTCTGTGTCCTTTTCGTTCTCTTCAGCTACAAGATTTTAAAATATTTTATCAGCGTGTTCGCTTCAAATACATATAACAGGTATGGAAATGTGTCAGAAATATGTGCCCATATAGGCCTACATACGTGCATGCGCGTAACACAAATGCAGCATTCACTGCTGAACAGTCGTTGTTCGAATTATGGTCTTGTAGTTTGTGGCCCCGTACATGTCCTGCCTACAGAACTACACCGCATCTTGTGCACACTAACGTTCACCTTGACGATGGAGGCAGTAGGTTCCTCCGAAACTGTTTTATTCATCTGCAAAACTACTTAACTATTGAACACTTGTAGGACACACATACGATTGCAAAATCTATCATTTTCAGCAGGGGACTTCTGCGGTTGTTCATAGTTTTGGACAATGTCGAATCTTCGTTCACTCTTCCTACTGGTGAACACTGACGTTTTGTTTCAGCGTCCTCTCTTAACGCTGCAAGTCTAATGAAGACTATTAGCTTCAAATTTATCTGAATATTTAGAAAAATTTACCAAAAAACTTTTAATATTCTTTAAGGAAAATGTCGCTATTCATTCTAAGAATCACACGGAACACACAGATACACCGTGTGGGCAAAATGCAGAGATTTTCGATGCCAGAAATGTGATCCAATTAAACTATCTATGGCTCTACAGCCATTATGGACCTTGGCCGCATTTCAGTTTCTTAATCTATACACGGCCGGTAGGACTCCTTCGAGAGGAGATCAGCCGGTCGCAAGGCCGCTGCCTATACACACAACACAATCACAGAATAAAAGCACACAGACATCCATGCCTCGAGTGGGATTCGAACCCACGATCTCAATGTTCGAGCGGGCGAAGATAGCTCATGATTTAGACCGAGCAGCCACTATGATCGGCTGATGTAAATAAACGGTTAGCTATGAGATAAATTTTCAAAACCGCCGATGAAAGTCCATTATTGGATATAATCCTGAGAAAATTTCACTGAACCTTAATCCCTTGGATGAATTTCTCCAAAAAAAATCTCAATATTATTCTGACATCTCCTGCGTCTTTCTAATGTTTCTTTACCGGCCCATTTCACGACCAAAATTCTAGTTACGCTTATTAAGATTTCTTGATGAGAATGCTGTTGTGGCCTATTTTATAGCGGCGTTAACATAAAATGAAAGGGTCAATCACATTGGAAATTACGCTGTCACGGTCGGTCAATTGTAAACCTGCATGATCTCACCGGTGGAGGGGGGAGGCTTATGCCACAAAAGCTGCCTTTGTCTGAGAACTTCAACTAAATAACCGTGAAGATGGAGGTAGCTGATTCCTCCGATACTTTGATTTCTGTCTACCAAACTACACGGTACCACATCCCAAATGACTCATCACCATGAGAACCTCAAATTTCATATAGAATGATAATATGCTGTTGGACAAAGTAACAAGGTACGGAGCCATAATGATGTACGCTTATAATCACGTCAAATGAGAATAGATCAGCGACAAACCGTCATATGGGCAGCTTCTGTTTACTGGCTCCGTTAATAGAAATATTGATTGCATGTGAAATTTAAAATAAAATTGACGAGAAACTGCGAAGATGAAAACACTTTGCGATTAGCAAGAATTGTTTCATAGTAGGATTAGTTAAGCTAGTATACCCACTGGGCACGTTTTATAAGGCAGTTTCAGTAACAAACAGAATTAACTTCTCACAAGACTTCAGAGCAAATTCAAAAACACACACACACATTATTCCACAAACAGGAACATCACGAAACAAGCAGCCATATTAACCCTTAAAGAAAGCACTTGCTTAAAAAGAAACTTTGTATATTTCCCTTATACTGTAGGTCTATTCGTGCGTTTTGCATGATTCTTTCATTAAAAAGTGATTATTTTCCTAAACAGCATTTATCCGGGTCTTCGTGTTTATGGAAACGCAATGCTTCCTGTGAGGTACGAACTGAATTTGTATATATTACTCAGGGGAATAGCAAGCAACGATTGAGTATGCACAAACCACAACATTTAGTAAAGTAAAGACGGCATGCATAAAAATCTATACATTTTCTGGGTAGGAAATACATAATATATATTTAGAGGAAATTATATAAACAGATTCTTTATTATTAAAACGACTCGGCACACGTTAAGGCGGGATCAGCGTGAAACTGCGTCATTTTCACTAGCAGAACCGACGATAATTAAGTTACAAACTACAAAAAATAAATAACAATAATCCGATAACGAAATACATTTCATAAATTTTCAGATGTAAACACGCATACCACGAGCTGCTGTTAGTATATCGTCACTGCAATGTCACAGTCTTCAACACAAACAGGTGTATATGGACATACACGGATCTTAACGTGTTGCTGTCAAATGGAGATAAATTATCGGACGACACAGTCAAATAGGCACACGGCACGCATAAGCACAGCGATGTGAATCAACAGACGTTGAAGAATACTATATTCTGAAATATGACGAGGTAGAATGTAGCAGAATGTCTCACCCGGCCTATATCACTATTGCCTTGACGCTCAGCCCAGTTTTCGACAAGTAAATGAAGGCAGTACGTTGTTCCGAAACGTCTGTGAATTTCTACATGGAGTCTCATCACAGAAGACAGTATTCTGTATTAGTCATAGCCTTGAATTTGTCAAGTTACACGTAGAATTCACTGCCTGTATTGAGTTCCGAATTTTGAACTCCAGAGTTTTTCATTTTTTCACGTGTTATTTTCTTAAGATACAAACCATTCCTTATATTAAAAAACGTAGTTCAAAATACAATTAAATTAAGGGCATTATTTTCGGGGAAACAAGGTACAATTTTTATTTCTACAGTTAGCTACAGTCCAAAAGTTTCAGGGAGTAAATCTCGGGAGACAAAATGAATTAAAACAAACGGCAGAAACGCTGATATACAAATTCGACACAAAACGTTTCAAATAACCAGTAGGCCTATTTACCGGTTTCCATCCACCGCGACTTCTATGTGTGCAAGACTCAGTTTGGTCACAAATTTCAAAATCCACAATACAGAGTCGATTTCAAACATGCGACTTGAGATAATCACGCTGGCGACTTGTGGGATATGGCGCCGTGTAGTCTGGTACAAGTTTCCCGACGTTTCGGACGAACATACGGCCTTCATCTTGAGTGACAGCTTGTTGTTTGCTCGATCTGCTTACACTTCAACCCCAAAAGCTGAAACCACAGGTTCTTCCGAAACGTCAGTAAACTTCTACCAGACCACACAGCGTCAGCACATCCCACAATCTATCCGGATTCAAACTCATATATTTGCCCAACAAAACCGAGACTCAAAACAAGTGTCTACCACACAATGCATAGTTCGGTTCCAGTTTGTTCTGACATGTGTCGCCAGTTCCGGCCGTCATGGTCCTGTCTTCCGGAACGTGTTAAAAACACCGGTAAGATACGTCCGAAATTGTGCCCAAGCGTATCCGACACAAAAGGGCGAATGCGATTTTTTTAATTCTAAAACCAAAATTGGGGAGGGGCAATGCCAGTACGGCCACTTACAATAAAATTGGAAGAAATTTGAATTATATAAACGCAAACAAATATATATGACGGAGAACATGTTTCGTTTATTTTAAGTCCTGGCTTCATTTGATCGTAGACAATTATGCCATGCAGAGTGTGTCTAATTAAGGGCGGTGCTGTATCTGTCACTGGCATATTTCATTCCAGATACGGATATGTCACTGATTAGTGACCGAGAGTGGGATACCACTCTGCTAACATTATTCCTCGACTGCCCCATTAGACCATGGTAAAACGCAATTTATTTATACGAACATAAAACCTATAACCGCTTTTGGAACATTAGTATTAATTGCTTAAGGTTTCGTTGGGTGTCCGGGTCTAGACGTTTCGCGCTTATTAACAGGCCCAAATTTTCTTCATGCGACACAGTTGGGTGTTACCGGAGTTTGAAACTTGCTTGAACACAACGTCGAGTAACTGCCATCTTCTTTGGCGCCCAAACGTCTCGGTCAGTGTGAGCACACGGGGGATCAAGCCGGATTGTGAGACACAGTGAAACAAGTTTCATACTTTTTGCCCAGAAGAAAATTAAGACTTAAAAGACAATCTACCTGAGTGCATCGCCTCTTTGGTGCGCAACGTTTGTTAATGTTGTCTCTTCGCCGATCGTGAGACAGTCGCCGCCGCGAGGTGATGGCAGGGACGCTTATCTGCAGCTGATGTTTATTGACTCTGGACACAGATGTCATCCCAAACCCAGGACACAATGACGTAACACCACCAAAAAAACCACACACTTCTTTGATTATTACTTAGGAAAAAGAAACAATTCTTGGTATTACTAAAAACACACACCACACTCACAGACGAAAATCCACTGATTATGTTGCTGTTGATATAACTCGGGCTAACTTGTCACGACCTGCATCTTGGGCTCTCCGTCGGGTGTTCAGTGTTCCGATAGCGCTTACTGTTATGCTCTACCTATCTATTCTTCCTTCTTCTGTCTTACACATTTTCACATGCGTTGTGTTCTTTGTTTTCTTTTCTTTCTTTCTTTTTTTTTTGGTTTTTTTGTTTTTTGTTTCAGCTGTCCACGGAGGCCCAGATGTTTCTCGCGTGGCGCTCGACGGCTCACTGTCGGAGCTGCATACACTTTATAATCAATCGCTAACCAGGGAGGGGGAACTCACGGCAAGAGGGGCGAAGGGAAGAGGGGGGTAAGAGAATAGAAAGAGATGCAATAAGGAGAAGGGGAAGGTATGCGGGGAGGAACGAAAACTCTCAAAGAGGTGTCCCTATCTTAGTTTTTCCTTCTTCTTCTGCGTCTTCGTGCTTTAGGATGGTGATGAAGCCAAGTCGCGCTCCAGAACCAGAGCCTGCGAGAGCGGGGAGGAGGAGATGTTATAACTAGGAGAGTGAGATCGGAATGGAAAGAAGGGGGTAAGACGGTAAAGAGTGCGGGACTTGGAGAAGAGGGATGATAGAGGGGTGAAAAAAGATGAAACNAGTGCTGTCGGAGAGATGGAATACAGAAGGAAAAAAAAAAGAGAAAACGTACGGGGGGGGAGGGGTAGTGTGATATGGGAGGGCGAGGTAACTCTCCTAGCGAACAGAGTTTTTAAGAAGATGAAGATATGGTGGGTGAGAAATCAAAGAATTGAAGACGCATAGTTTCTTTACTGTGAGGACAGTGGTTCGACACGGACCAGGGGGGGGCTTCTTCACAGACTGACATTTTTATAGTAGTTCTTCAAAATGTTATAGCGCCATATTTTTGACGTATAACCTCCTTTATGTGAGAAAACCGCGACTAGCGCGAATGATCGTTTTTATACTAGTCGCGGATTTAGGATCACAGATAAACCAACGAAACAGCTTCAGATTACGTCAACTGGAGGTCCGCGAGACGGATTCGGCCCATCGTTTCCCAAGTAACATACAAAAACATTACAAGGTTTGAACTCATGAACTCAGCCGGTTAGTTTAGCGGTACACCTCTAGACTTGTATTTGAGAGGTGCTCGGTTTGAATCTCGGTCGAGAGAGACAACTGTCATGACTGAGGTCTGCCGTGGTTTTCCTTGTTACGCAATCTCTTCCTTCAAAATAATTTCTAGGTCGGTAGTCCGAGCTACTCAGAGCAACGTAAAGTAAAACAAATAAAAAGACGTAAATTATCATGTAGTTGGATTGTAATTATTAATATTATAATAAATAATGTTCAGCAGTTTTAGTGGAGGCCATATAAATTCTGAACATTATCTATTACACTAAAGATTAATTGTAGGAACAACTTAGGACTATTGAAAAAAGTAGCAACGAAACAAATTTTAAAGTGAGTTACATTTCCAGAAGAAGAAACAATACGAAACAAATTTATTTAAAAACACGTTCGAAAAATATTCAAACGCCTGAACAAAATGAGATGATGATAATAGCGAAAAAGATATAAGAAATAGAGGATCAGCGAGAAACATTTCCGGGATTTCAGTGTTTAACATATCAGTAATTTAGGGGTATGTGAGCATGATGTTTGTGTTGAAATACACAAAGCTCTCCAGGTTTCATCCTCATCTGTCCCGTGCAACGCCAGTGTCACACTGATTGTTGCTGCGCACTGATAGCTGCGCGGTGGTATATTCACGTCACATGCTTGACCACCGACAGTTAGCGGTATCGGTAGCAAGCCTATTGCTTGCCATGGCATGCCGAGTTCGAGGTCTATTGTGACCATTCGACGCACGCATGGAACACAATCGCCTACTGACAAATCGGCCATTGGGTGGCTTACTCAGTTTACAGCAACGGGCCAGGCTGGAACAAGCCTCGATCAGGCACGATTTAATTTCATGTCCGGTTTTGTGAAAAACCTTCTTTAAGCTGTAAGAAGGCCGCGCCATAGCTCAAGCGGTTAGTCGGCGGCTGCCTGGGTTCGATCCCGGGTCTCGTCAAGTGGGATTTGTTGTGGACAAAGTGACGCTGGGGCAGGTTTTCTCCGAGTACTTCGGTTTCCCCTGCCAATCTTCATTCCATCAATTGCTCCACAATAACCCTGACCTATCATGTGGGGCTGATACAACAGGCCAGAAGTGGCCGCAGTACAAGGGACTTAGTCCCACCCCACTAGCAATAAAAAAAAGCTGTAAGAATTCATGACGTTGACCACCTACGACAGCGAATCACAGCTGCTGTCAGACAAGCTTCACCGAACATAGAAAGAAACAGACTACCGTTTCGATGTTTGTAGATTTAGCAAATGGTGCTCATACCGAGTTCTATTAAGGTAAAGGTAAAGCTATCGCTGTAACAGGCCGTGGAGTCCCATAGGGTTGTGAGACATCGAGGCTTCCACATTTTCTGTAGACAGTCAGCTCATAGATGGAGGTGAGGTTGTCAGCCTTACGCGCAGGCCGCTCTTCGCCCCCCAGGAAGATTCCAAGTATTCATTTCTGTTGGAGGTTGAGTCGAACCCAGGTCCATAGTGCGGCTGGAAGGATAAGTCAAAAGAAAAAAAAACCCACCTCATAGGGACTCGAAGACGCAACCTTCCGACTTGTAGAGTAGTGCCTCAACGAACTACGCTACCGCGTACTTCGATCTATTTGGGTATGACATCAAATTCTGAGTGCTTTTAGACATTTTATAAAAGGGGTACCTACGTTTTGTTCCGTAGTTAAAATTAAACGAGAATTTCAATTCCCGGACATATCTTTCGATGATCCTGTATTTGCACACGAAGAGCCCAGAAATATTAGGAAGAAGTTGCAAGAGAACGAATAAAAGAGACCCAATTAACGCGTAATACAGTCCTAACTTCAACAAGTGACACGCATACTGTAAGTATGCATATTTAAAGCACTCGAAGTTGCCGAGTTCCTGGACAATGTTTCGGAAACTGATACTGTTGGTGTGGGGAGACATTCTGTTCCATGGCCTCTCTGTCTCTTTGGGCATTTCCACGACTGTTACACCAAATTTTCCTATTAATTCCCGTCCACAAAACATGCTCATAGCTTCATACGTAGCTGCAAATGGCTGACTCTTGCTCTTTCTAACGGGCCTTCTAACCATTCCACACTGAAGACAGAAGCATCAATTTTCAAATATGAATTGTCTGAACTCTCCTTCTGAAAGACAATAACTGGATGTCTGAATTTTAAGTTTAAACGAAGATGCAGAATTGAAATGCAACTTTGAGTGGGAGGGGTTCACTTTAAGACTCTGTTATCAGATAATGAGAAGGAAGTCCTTCTACTCTACATCTTATTTTTTTCCTTGACACTACAGCCCAAGTGGGCCTAGGCCCACCTCCATGAACTTCTCCGTTCACTTCGGTTTTTCTAGATTTTACACATTCGGAAGGACTCCTTGGGCGGGTGATCAGCTCGTCGCAAGGCCTCTACCTGTACACAAACACACAAATACTAAACATCCATGCCCTGAATGGGATTCGAACCCATGATCCCTGTTTCCAAGCGAGCGAAGACAGTGCATGCCCCTACTTTACTTTACCTTTACCAATTCCTACATACGATGTACTCAGAATTCGAAATCATCGCCTTAATGACTCCACTGATCTTCACAGTCAAATACGTCGTTAAGTAATATGATAACGAATAGAAAGAAGTCACAGTGTAACACTCGTTGCGAATTAACGGAATTTCCCAGGACTTGCTGCATACATTCCCGGCTTTCTCGAGTCGTACATATGTATTATCGAACGATACGTTGAGGTCGTTGTCTAACACGAATAGCACACATAAATAGTAACTCGAAAGCCGCATCCTGCTTCACTATATTACAATTCACATATTTACATCAAAACATTTTCCGTATTCATATGATCGACACGATACGCTGAAATAAAATACCGTTAGTTCGTTCGTTTGTGACCTATTACATATTTTAAGTTCATGAAACATGTTAGCGCTAAATAGTCTGTTGCTATAACAACCTGCAATTACGAAATGGCAATAAAAATTTCACGGTTACAAAACTTTTAATATATATATACGTGATAGTAATATGGATTCGGACGATTAAAAACTCCTTACGGATATTGATTTTATGAGAAGACGTGTTATTTACAAAATGAAACTATAAAAGAGAAAGAAATTAATATTGCAAATTTTCACACGTGACAGGAGAACATTCTGGCTGAAGTTATATTTTCACTCTTTGTTATATTAAATTTGTGAACCTGAATACATTACTTATAGTCAGTTCATTGACAAAGTCTACTCGGGCCGTGTAACCAAAACAACGAAAACAGACGACAACCGGCTTCTATACCGGGGAACTCCTCTTGGCGCAGTTCCGTAATGTGCAACGATTAATTCCCTAACTAATCTTTTTTAATTGCTAGTGGGGTGGGACTAAGTCCCTTGTACTGCGGCCACTTCTGGCCTATTGTGCCAGCCCTAGATGATAGGTGGGGGAGATTTTGGAGCAATTGGTAAAATGAAGATTGTCAGGGGAAACCGAAGTACTCGGAGAAAACCTGCCCCAGCGCCACTTTGTCCACCACAAATCCCACTTGACCAGACCTGGGATCGAACCCGGGCCGCAGCGGTGGGAAGCGAGCGATTAACCGCTTGAGCTATGGCGCGGCCAACTAACTAACTTCATGGAACTGCGAATTCCTTGAGAAGCTGCCAGTTGCCCAGCCACTCAAGAACTTCCCAGCATTTTACGGAGCCCGAAGGTTTATTACCGTGTTCACAAGAGCCCTCCACTGGTCTCTATCCTGAGCCAGATCAATCCAGTCAATACCATCCCATCCTATGTAAGATCAATTTTAATATCGTCCACCGACCTACGTCTTGGCCTTCCTAGTGGTCTCTTTGCTTCTGGCTTTCCAAAAAATATCCTATATAAGTTTCTCTTCTCTAGCATGCGCCCTACATGCCCTGCCTACCTCATCCTCCTTGACTTCATCATTATAACTATGCTTGGCGAAGAGTACAAGTTATGAAGCTCCTCATTATGCAGTCTTCTCAAACCTCCTGTCACTTCATCCCTCTTCGGTCCAAATATTCTCCTCAGCACCCTGTTC